CACCTCGCTTTGCAATGAAGGACCCTTGAGTCTGCACCTGTGTCACGGCGTTGTCGCAACGCCGCGCTGGCCTGGTTGACCTTGATGCGGCGGCTGGCAAAAGCGCGGGTTGGGTGCAGGGACCACCTCATCATGACCGACCTCCACAGGCACAACACCTTCGCTGCCTGCGAGGAGTGGCTTTGTGTCTTTGTCTCCGACTCCTGGGCAGAATCTGGATGCCACAGAACCACATTGCTTTTGGGCCTTCGAGCTGGCATGCGGGTGCGATCTATCTTGCTGAGTCGCCCTCGCCACGTGCCTTTCTATGAAAGGACGGCCGTTCGGAGCCCCATTGTGGAGCTGGCAGGCTTGATTGCCCATAAGTTGTCGCGGGTTGTCGGGCCCCTGGATGAGTATTGCACCAAGGGATGAGCGCTGCTGGCACTGCGCGGGCTTGAGCCACCCGAGTGTGGCACAAAGCGCTGTAACGCAGAGAACCGCCTGAGGCTTGCATGATTGCTTCGCGACGGGCGTTACAGCGGCTTCCTGACCCAACAGTGTTCTGTGCTGCCATCTTGTCAGTTTCCTGCCATTGCGACCATTTGGCGGCAGGTGTGGCATGTTCTTCAGGCTTGTGGTGCGAAAAATCGAGAGTCTCATGCAGCGCATCGTGAGAGGCTGTGGGAATTGGGTGCATGTATGGGGGTTTTATGGTGGTAATGGTGGTGAATCCCGCTGATAAGTTCCCATGACGAGTGCCTGGGTTTATAATAGGCTTTCCGATCAACAGCTGTGGCCGCAGGAAAAGCGGGCGAGGAAAAATCCCTAAACCCCGACCCTAAACTGTAACGTCGAAACTTCGAAATGATTAGTAATAGCATCCCCTTATCAACGTCCTTACTATGGAGTATGCTACGTACCGATTCGGGATTGTTCTTTATTTCCTCTGCTGCTTTAACATCGAACGCTAACCATAGTACGTGCTTTTGGGGGCTCTTGTAATCGACACCTATATAGCAAAATATACTCCAGAGCCGTAGTCTAACTATTCATCTCACGGAAGAAGTGTCGCAAAGCATCCAAAGGCCAGGCGGCCTAAAGACTAAAACCCCCAACACTTGGGTTCTATAACGTCGTAGGCCTTGTCAGACAGACAGTCTGAAATGAGGTTGTTTTGTATGAACTTCTCCCAGAGGTTATATATGGTTGTCAAATTGTTAACAGGTTTTTGAAGGTTTTTAGACACAGGGTTAGTATGACAGGAGCCTGATTGTTTGGGGTTTGGGAACTTAGGAGTTGGGGTTTTAACGAGTTCATGGTTTGGCTGTTTAGGAAGTCGGCTAAACTTTTAAATTTGGAACCAAAGAAATGCGCGGTGCCAGATGAGCTTGGCATGCCAGGAGGAGACAAATCAGGCTTCGAGTCACATAGGGGCGTAGCTCATGAGTCCGTTTACAAGGGCCCAACAGGTACAACATGTTGCATGGGGCCTTGATTATTCGAAAATGGGGCTTGGGGTGTATTGACCCTTAAGATGTAATGGAGGAAACCTATAAAGAATCATTAGTAAGTATGCAGGTTTTTATAGTAAGCATGTTGGAAGGCGAAATTCAAATACTGAAGCGTGTATGTTCTTCTCTTTCTGGGGGCACAGGAACTCGAAAGTCTAAACATAAACCCTAACACCTGCACCCCAGACCCTAAACCCTAAACCCTTATCCAGCGTAAGCAAAGTGGATGTTTTTTGCCGGGGGCTTCAACCAGCCATCACGAGCCCCCAGAGACTCCAATATCCTTTAATTAAGGATTATTTAAGGAATATACCTTAAATTATAGTAGGATCGCTAATATGGTGTAAGGTATATTCCTTAACTAAGGGATATTGGAGTCTCTGGGCCCAATCTCCAGTGCCCCCACGCCCGAGTGCTTTCCAGCCTTGGACTTAGGATTCTGATGTTCGGGATCGGGGTTTGCGGGTTACTGTTCGTGTTAGTTTCAGGGCACCAGAGTGTACTTGGATTACACGTGCAAGTACATCCGTAAACTCTAATCCTTACTTTGACGACCACGGCCCTCCTATTTTGACGACCATGGCCCTGCACATGACAAACTTCGGTGCCAAACCCTAATCCTTTAAGCCCCGCAAACCTTCAGCCTCAACCCCGCTAATATAGGGGCCTTTTAATAATTAGAATAGGGCCTTGGGGCCCATGATACCATAATCAAAGCAAGGAACACTCAGACTTGTATAGGAAATGATAAAGGCTCCCATATTACCCCCCCGAAGCCCACAATCCTGAACCCGAAAACCTACCCCCAGACCCTCATCGTCCTGAACATGAGGCTCGCAACCCACCTTCATCCTCGTGAGGGATGCTGGCACCGGTGATGCAGATGGGGTGCCGAGCTCAGCTCTTTCTCTGTCAGAGCCATCGAAGTAAGAACTAAGATTTGGGGTTTAAGGTTTGTTGTGCAGGCCTCCCCCCAAATAAGACTGCTTGGATTGGGCATACTTGTGGCCCGAAGCACCTATTTGGTTCGGGGGGTTTGGGGTTGTAAAGTTTCGGGTTTAGGGATACCTATAGCCAAAACCTAGGTTTTAAAAGTTCCTTATTCGGAAAAACCTTACCTTACCCCTGGTCTTTCGAGTGGTAAGGGTTAATGCAATGCAGGCTTTAGGGTGCGCAGGGGCCTTTTGCGGTTTTTGATTCAATTTGACCAAAACCTAAACCCTAAACCTTAAACCCTAAATCCACAAGCCCATTTGGGGCTTCGCTGCTTCCAATGGTTTCCTGGCTCAAGGTTCAGGTTCCGGGTTCTGCTGAACCCGGGGGAGCTCTGAGTGGGTTTCAACTTTTGTTGGTCGTTTTGGATGTACTTAAAGGATCATGGGACTTAGTAACTAGGGTTATTATTGGGGTAACTATACTTGTAACTATAACCCCAATTAAGGGACTTATAACTACAGTTACTAGGTCCCGTGATCCTCCAAGTAGGGCTTTGGGGTTGCAGGGTTCAGGTTTGATGATGGTTTCGGCTTACCTAGTAGTAGAGTAGATAACCTTTAACCTTTTTGGGGGAGTATGGTCCCTATATAGTCCCTATATACCCAAAAAGGTTAACCTTGATGTCCCCATGATACCCGACAAGTAAGCTTAGGGGTTTGTTTTTGTACCTGGAGGGGGTCAGGATTAACGTGAGTCTGATGCCACGCCCACGACGAAAGCCTGGGTCTGACCAGTCAGTGGTGGTAAAGGTAAAGTAGCCGCAAAGTGCTAAACAGGGCGGCAGCAGCAACAACAACAACAACAGAGACGACGACGACGACGTGAACTTAGAGGGACGATGGGCGATGCCGTCTAAGCATTAACAACAGTAAACCTGACATAATAGCAGGTTCTCGTAGCCGGCCGATTCCAACCTGCCCCAAGGTCTACAAGCCGGCCAGTCGCCGTTGGCTCGACCATGATGTCTACGAGTCCGGGTCCTTGGTTTGAGAACCCAAAACCCCACCGAAGCTCAGGGCTTGGGATTCCTAAAACCCGAATCCAGAGACTCCAATATCCCTTAATTAAGGAATGTTCCTTAAACCATATTAGGGATTTTACTACAATTTAAGGTATATTCGTCAATTAAGGGATATTGGAGTCTCTGGGAGTCACGTGACTTTGGATACCCTAAACCAAGAAACCGGACAAGGCTCGAAGCGCTGCATTGTCGCATAGCTGTTCTTGCTTCGAAAGTGCCGGAAGAGCCTATATGTTGCAGAAAACTAGGCCCTAAACACTGACACCCCAAAACCTTCATGTGATTTCGTGGTTCAGGCGTCGTTTTGTGGATTCAGCTTTCGTAGCCGCTTGAGTTCACAACACTCATTTTGCCCCGACAGCATGCTGACCCGGTAAGTTGGCCTACGCGTTTAGGGCTCCAGGGCTAAGGGTGCAGGGTATAGAGTATAGTGGTTCAGGGCTTCGGGTTGGCTATGTTGCGGTTTAGTGTTATGTCTTGCGGAGGTTAGTGTCAATTAAGCAATAAAGTTATTTCGCCCTCAAGAGATCCAATTGTCTCGAATTGCCTGAGCTCTTCCAGACTGTTCCTCATAGATAGAAAATAAGATAAAGCACTAAACCCTACTAGTAACAGGTTGTAATGTCGCAGCCAAAAAACTGCTCCTCTTTGTCTTGCTTTGGGGTGCAGGGTTGAGGGCCACGACAATCCCAAACCTTAAGCGGAAACGAGCGATGGCTCTCGTTGAACGTGCCGTGGCCGCGAGCTGCTCAAAAAAAAGCCCTCGCCAAAGGCTGCACCCTAAGCCCTGAATCCTAAACCCACGACTCCCCAGAATTGCCGTGTCATAGCAGCCAAGAAGCACAATGGGAGCCTTAATCATTAGAAGAGGTTTGGGGGGTATATTCTACTAATCATTAAAGAGCCCCCAGAATAGTAGCGGTAGTGATTTAGGACCCTATTTTGGAATGGGGTTGTGCGTGTGGTCTATTTGTTTGGGCTTTGCTTGGAGAGTCGACCCCCGCAACGTAACCTCTGAGTCATTCCAAGCTCTTGCACCCCGAAGCTCGCCGATCAAAAAGCACGCGAACCCGTAGCCCCAAAGCCCTGAACCTAGCAACTGTGCTGGATGAAGTGGCAATCGACAGGTGGGAGTTTCGGAAAAAGGGGACCCTGATACAGCACCCTAAGTAGTAGGATTCCTATTATAAGGACTCCGAAACAAGGTACCCCTAATTTTCGGAAACTCCCAAAACATGTTCGGAGGGGCTGAAGCAATCAGTCCCTCGCCCCATCCCGCCACTTCTAACCTCTCACCCCCTGCAAGCCCCTAATATTGAAGCGTAAGTACTTACCTATATGATTCCTTCGGGTTCCTGATGATAGTTATACTACAAAGGAGCCCAGAACCCTAATACTAGTATCATTCCTTAGGGTCCCGTCTTATAGTTAGACTATAAAGGAGCCCAGAACCCTAAGGCCCCTCTAAAGTCTGATGGTCTCTTGCAGCCATGGGATTTCAGACGGGCATGCACACGGCTGGACCGCCGGCGAAGACTTCTGCTACTCGCCCCTACCCTGCTTTCCAGGCACGACTTCGGCTCGGGGGGTCAAGGCTCCTTTTAACCCTACACCCTTTCCTAGCAGTAGAGTAGGTAACCTTTGACCTGCTTTGGGTAGTATAGTCCCTATATAATCCCTATGGGCTTAACCTTTAGTTCCCCATGATACCCGGCAAGTAGGCTGTGGTTGAGGGTTTGACTTTCGGCCTCAAAGCCTGACTGTTCTTGAGGGTTTGGGTTTAGGGTCTCAGGCTTCGTGTTAGGCCGTTGTGCTTGCATGCCGGCTTCTTGAGCCACCCAGAGACTCCAACATCCCTTAATTAAGGAATATTCCTTAAATCATAGCAGGATCCCTAATAAGATTTAAGGAATATTCCTTAATTAAGGGATATTGGAGTCTCTGGGCAGATCCACCTCCTGCGGCAAGGCCCACGAAAGCTCGGAAGATCCAGTTCTCCAAACCTGTTGAGCTGCCAAAACCCTGGGTTTGGAGTACCATACTTGAATACTTCTTTTGGGTACCTGTTCCTTAAAGGAACCAATATGAAATACAAGTCTATACTTTTTTCTCCCTGGTTACTTCTCGGCCCAGAAACCTGATCCAATGCTAGGCAGACGCTGGGACATTTCATGTTTATGCCTGAAGGGCTCCAGGACCAGCTTTACGATAAATGTTCAGAGTATTTACTTGTGAGCAAGGGCCGAAAAATATTGCATAGTCCTTCAATTCTATCTCTTGTCATTGCATGAGCAACGTCCGCTCATGAAGGGCAATAGTTAACTTTGTCATAGTTGAGTAACAGTTTACATTTTTATGGGTATTTAAACCCAATAAGGAATAAAGAGGTACATTTTTAATCCTATCCCAACCATGAGCAAGTTATCGGGATCCCAGGCCTCTGTATCCAAAAGCCCCAAACCCTCGACTCAAAATAGTGAGATCTGTGGTTCCTAATAAACCTTGAACGCCTCAAGCTGAACCCTTGACCCTAAACCCCAGACCCAGGGTTTAAGGTTCAGGGCCCTCTACTTGACGTTCTGCTGGTTGACTCTTAGGACTTTAACTTGTTGGGTTTCTATATGAACTATATTAAGGAGGCTACAAGTTTAACTTTTAGGAGGGGTTCAGAAGTCAGCCAATTGTAGGCCCTAAAATTTCGCAAGTCTCTGGGTTCTGCCCCTTGCAGGCAGACGCAGCTGCTCCCGCTGCGGGGCTGGGTGCGCTGGCGGGGCCCCATACTGGCGAAAAAAACTTTAGTTCCCCAACACCAAAACTTTAAATTTTTTGGGGTTCCGATAGTTTAGTAGTAACCAGAAAGTTTAACCTTCTGTTTCTGTGGCGTGTAGGGGGAGTAAGAAAAAGGATCCTTAGATTTAGAACAGGACCGAATAGGAATCGTTTATTTGAGGGTTTGTATGACATGAGTTGTGAGAACGCTTTTTTGCTTGGGGCTTTGTAGGGTTCTATGACATGCCTAACAGTTGAAATGAATAGGGTTGTCGGTTATGTTATAGTCTGTCATAGTATAGCTTGTACAGCTATAGTAGGGACTTTGAGAGGATATTACTACCGATCATTGAGACTACTACAGTAGCATGGTAAGCCTCGCGGCAAAAGAGAACTCTGCACCCACCCTGAGCCCGCCTAAGCCCTGAACCCTTTTCCGGAAACAGAATCATAGGAGGCCACAAGGGTTTTAGCCTATGTATGGGGTTTAGTAGGGATTAGGGTTCCCATAATAGGGTTCATATTAAGGAATCCCTACCCCAAGAATCTTAAACCCCACTTTTGGCCTCCCATCGCAGAAGTTTGGGCGACTTCAGAGTTGATAAGGGCTCCAGGCATCGAGTTCAGCACTGCAGGTATGCAGGGATTGGAATAGCCTTAACCCAAACCCCAATGTTCAAAGTGTTGGGGCTCAAAACACTGGCTCGGTCCCCAGACAGGCATCAATCAAAAAGAGTATTGGCGCCATACAAACACAGCTCTGAGGGCTGCGTTATGATGGAAAGCAGAGCAAGGTTGCGGCGCTGAAGCACGGGTCAACTTCGGGTGCAGGATCTTAAAATTTAGGGCGAAACCCTTCAGGAGGTTTTTGCTGATGTTACCGCACCAGTCTTGCTTCTTCAACTTCGCAAAACGGCCCTGGTCTCTGGTAGTTTGGTGTTGTACTTCAAGCCCTCGCGGCTTTCGCGCGGTGCGAACAGAGACTCCACATTGAACTTTCAGGGGTCCTAAACACTGACGAATGCTTGGAAATCAAATAGCTTTTGGGGTTACTAAAATCCGCAAGAAACAGCTAACAAGTACGATTTTTGCACGGGTGCCAAGTTCCGTTTATTGGACTACGATACGTTCTTCAAAGCACTTATCGCCCGAGTGTGTGTGTGTGTGTGTGTGTGTGTGTGTCTGTGTGTCTGTGTGTCTGTGTGTCTGTGTGTCTGTGTGTCTGTGTGTCTGTGTGTCTGTGTGTCTGTGTGTCTGTGTGTCTGTGTGTCTGTGTGTCTGTCTGTGTCTGTGTGTCTGTGTGTCTGTGTGTCTGTGTGTCTGTGTGTCTGTGTGTCTGTGTGTCTGTGTGTCTGTGTGTCTGTGTGTCTGTGTCTGTCTGTCTGTCTGTCTGTCTGTCTGTCTGTCTGTCTGTCTGTCTGTCTGTCTGTCTGTCTGTCTGTGTCTGTCTGTCTGTCTGTCTGTCTGTGTCTGTCTGTGTCTGTGTCTGTGTCTGTGTCTGTCTGTGTCTGTGTCTGTCTGTGTCTGTGTCTGTGTCTGTGTCTGTCTGTCTGTGTCTGTCTGTGTCTGTCTGCGTCTGTGTCTGTGTCTGTCTGTGTCTGTGTCCGTGTCTGTGTCTGTGTCGGTGTCTGTGTGTCTGTGTCTGTGTGTCTGTGTCAGTGTGTCTGTGTCTGTGTGTCTGTGTGTCTGTGTCTGTCTGTCTCTGTCTGTGTCTGTGTCTGTGTCTGTCTGTGTCTGTGTCTGTCTGTGTCTGTCTGTCTGTGTCTGTCTGTCTGTGTCTGTCTGTCTGTTTCTGTCTGTGTCTCTGTCTGTGTCTCTGTCTGTGTCTGTCTGTCTGTGTCTGTCTGTGTCTGTCTGTCTGTCTGTGTCTGTCTGTGTCTGTCTGTGTCTGTCTGTGTCTGTCTGTGTCTGTGTCCGTGTCCGTGTCCGTGTCTGTGTCTGTGTCTGTGTCTGTCTGTGTGTCTGTGTCTGTGTGTCTGTGTCTGTGTGGCTGTGTCTGTCTGTGTGTCTGTGTCTGTCTGTCTGTGTCTGTCTGTCTGTGTCTGTCTGTGTGTCTGTGTCTGTCTGTCTGTGTCTGTCTGTCTGTGTCTGTCTGTCTGTGTCTGTCTGTCTGTGTCTGTCTGTCTGTGTCTGTCTGTCTGTGTCTGTCTGTCCGTGTCTGTCTGTCTGTGTCTGTCTCTCTGTGTCTGTCTGTCTGTCTGTGTCTGTCTGTCTGTCTGTGTCTGTCTGTGTCTGTGTCTGTGTCCGTGTCCGTGTCTGTGTCCGTGTCCGTGTCCGTGTCTGTGTCTCTGTCTGTGTCCGTGTCTGTGTCTGTGTCTGTCTGTCTGTGTCTGTCTGTGTGTGCGTGCGTGCGCAATATGTTTACACACTAATGCTAAAACCCTGCTGAAGCCCTGAACCCTTTAAACCCCCTAAACCCACACCCCCCCCTAAACCCACTAAACCCCCTAAACCCCGAACGCCGCTGGGCCCTAAATCGACAGAAGAGACCCTAAAGCTCTCAACCCTAAACCCTAAACCCCAGGCCCCATATGGGAGTTTCCGACAATCAGGGGTACCTTATTTTGGGATCTTTATAATAAGGATCCTACTATTCAGGGTACTATACTGGGGTACGCTATATTCGGAAGCTCCGACGGAAGAGGTGACGCGCGGCGAAGCCGAGCTGAGCCCAGTGGAGCTCCTGGTGGTGGGCTCCATCGCAGGCGCTTCTTGGGGGGCTTTGAGGGTACTTGGAGGATCATGGGACTTAGTAACTGGTTATTTCATAGATCCCTTCAAGGAACCCTTATTATGGTACCTTCAAGGAACCCTTATTATGGTACCTTACTTGGAGGGTCATGGGACTTAGTAACTATAGTTATATGTCCCTTAATTGGGGTTATAAGATTTAGAAGTATAGTTACCCCAATAATAACCCTAGTTACTAAGTCCCATGATCCTTTAAGTAGGGTTTTGGGGGTTTGGGGGTTTGTTTGGGTTCCTTGAAAGAAGGTGGATCCATACGGGTTCCTTAGAGGATCTAATTTAGGGTTTAGGCGTTTCGTTTCTGATAATAATAACCACATTATGCAAAATAATAAAAGACATAATAACATTAACAATAGGAATAATAACTGGGTTCCGAAGTTTCCGTTAAAGGGGTCTACAAGGGTTGCTGTAAGGGCTACTATAAGAGTTTATGAGTACAGGGGCCTTAATAGCAATCCGAGGGTTCCTTTTAAAGGGATCCTTAAAGGGGTCTATAAGGGATTCATAATAGGGTGCCTATGGGGAAATTCCCTTTTATAAATGCAGTACAATGTGACCCAAAACCCTGTTCTAATTCCCTATATTAGGGTTCAGGGGTTTAAGGGTTAGGTCAGGTAAGCTTTATCGTTTTTGGGGTATGCTGGCTTCTATACAATCCCAAGGTTTACCCTTTAAGTTTCGGTATTATGGGGTTCTACGGAGGTTGTCTCTTAGGGCTTCGGGGTTAGAGTGTTTGGTTTTGGGGTTTCCCAAGAGCCGGTCACCATCGAACTATCTGGCCGTGGCAGCATTCCTTGCCTTCCGCGTGCATGCCTCCCACCGCTACAGTCCGCTTATCAATCTTATTGGGTTGAGGGTTTATTTCTGTCGGTGGCGTCGCACTTATCCATTTAAAACGAGGAGTTTTCTCGGTTATGTAGACAGCAAACCCTCGACTTTGCATCCTACACCCCACGCGCCACAACGCAGAACCCTGCATTACACCCTTTGCTGCCTGACTTACATCCTAAGCATCAAACCCTACACCTCAAACTTTACAGACATCTTGAAGGAACCCAAACACTCTGCACTGCCTCCGATGGCACCGAGGGGTCGTCGCCAAAACTGTCACTGCTCCATTGGACCGGGTGAGGCTGATCTACCAGGTGGGAATTTCAACGCATGGGGGTTTTTTATAGTGGCTCCACAAGTTGATGATGCGAGTTTTATAGGGTTTTGGGAGTTTAGGCCACCATCTGTTTTAAGGTTGAGGGTTTTGGACTTAGGGTCCAGCTTAGGGTTGAGGGGTAGCGCTTTGCGTGCGGTTTAGGGCTGAAGGTTTAGGGTCTAGGATGCGGTGCAGGGTGGAGGGTTTAGGGTTGGAGTTTCAAAAGAAGCAGGTGTTGGATTAAGCCTTATCTCTGAGAAGAGTTCCATGGGTGTTCTGCAAGGGCTCTACGGTGTCTGGTTTTGTAGTTCTCATCTGATTTTTCAAGGTTATATCTAGGGTTCCTAAGGGCTTGCAGGATTTTTCTTCACTGGTTCTTATTGTGGCGGGGTTTCACGGGTTTCATTCGCCCGGGTCCCGTGCGTACGGTTCTCGTTGGTAGTAATAAGCTGCATGCGAGATATGTGTCCAACTAGAGTGGCATTCGAAACTATGTGAAAACAACAGAGGCAACAGGCTCGGTAGTAGTAGCTAGCTTCATGGCGGTGGCAACATGCCTGGAAGGAAAGGAACGCCTCGTGGCAACAAAGCAATCTGTATGTTTCATCTCATCATTTCGAGAGTCAGACCTGAGTGTTTGAAAGATGCAAGGTCACGCCCTCGAAAGTTTACAGCCTTCGCTGTGCGATCGAGCTGGCTCGGGATATTGCCCGCCTTGCAGGTCCGCAAGGGCTTTGGTTCCCGAGCCCTTGTTGGAATCTTTGTGATTTTTTGTTAGTTCTTATCACACTCAAAGTGCTTAGCGCTCAGAGGAAGAAGGACAAGCCAAAATGTCGATTACATAACGCGCCAAGACTCGCTGATCCTCACTGGGACACAGGCGGTTTTAGGGTAAGCTACTTTCAACTCCGGAACCCCAGTGAATGTCAGCTCTCTCATTAAGTTCTCAACTCGAAGCCCCAACCAGCTCCTCGACCCTTGACATCCCTAAACCATGGAGCGCAATCATCTAAGATTAGGGTTTGGGGTTTTGGCGGTTGGGTCGGGTTCAGGTGTTGGCAAGTTTCAGAGGATGGCACTCCAAATCCTGCCAGGGTCCTCTGTACGATTTGTGTTCCATAAGGGAATGGAAAGCACAAGACGAACCGTAAGACCTGATTCTACTGGGTTACCTTCGGGAAGTACTGCGTCTTGGAAGTATTCAACATATCTTCCGGGCAGTGTAGAATATATGCAGGCCTTCAGTTTCAATAGCAGAGCGCTAAGCTGATGCTCCATTTAAACCAGCAGCACAAGGTATGGCCACATGGCGACGGTCTATCGCGTCGTGCCGTTCGCAGGCGTCCAGTTTCTCATGTTTGAAACCATCATGAAACGTCTTTCGAGGACGCCAGAGGCCAAGGAGTCGCCTGGCTGAGATGATTCAAGAACCTTAGTTCCCCAATACCCAACCTTTAAACTTTTTGGGTTCTTATAGTTTAGTGGTTGCCGGAGAGTTAAACCTTATCTTAGGCGTACTTAGAAACAATTTTAAACTTTCTGTTATTATAATCCCTAAGAAACCGCTAAAATTGTAGTTTTGCTAGGGTTCTAAGTTCAGTATAGTTATGTTTCTGTGGCTTATAGGAGAAGTAAGGAACCGTTCTGTTTGTTCTCATATCAGTTTTATGGTCTTGGGGATCTTCCTGCTGGAATTTTGTCGTGCCCAAAATTCGACACGTCTTGATTTGATCTTCATTATACGTAGTTATAGTATGCATACCCGAAGTCTTATTAAAATTAGGAAGGCCCGCCATATTGCCACGGCACCTCAGCTGGTGCACGGGGAGGCTCCTTTGACTCTTTTGACTCGTATCCAGCTGTACAACCTGATGAAGACCATTGTGAAGGCAGGTTTTAACCTAAAAGCACCCCCTAAACCCATCCCAAATCCCCAACCAAATCCCCAAACCCTAAACCCGAAACCTTGAACCCCAAACCCTACACCCTCTTCAACCCCAGACGCGAAGCTAAACCCATGAGGTTGCCCTTCGCACCGTTTTGGGTTCCCGCCTGCGCTGGGGCTTCTGCAGCGGTCTCTGCCACTATTGCCACATACCCCTTGGATGTGACTTGGCATGTTGCAAGGGCGTTACAGGCTTTAAATTCGGGTTTATGGAGCTTAGTAAGATTTTCGCAACGGACTTACATAAATATAAATATATTTAATGGCTGCCGCCACTGCCGCCGACCCTTTTGCCCGGCAACGGAGTCCTGCATGAGTTCCAGTAACCCTTTGTTGCTGGTGCTGTTACTGACGAGTAGTTCCTGAAAGCATTCCCTGTCATGTGGCGGCGACCTTGATTCGGTGGCCGGGAGGCTCAGTGGGCTAGCTTGCTCGGGGCGGAGGGGCTTGTTCAGGCTGTTTTGGGGGGATTCGGGCTCGCCCGGAGCGGCTTGCCCAGGTTTTTGAGGGCTCGCCTGGATGGGCTTGCCCAGGGTTATTGTCGGGGCTCGCCTGGATGGGCTTGCTCAGGGCTCGGCTGGGGGGGCTTGTTCAGGATTTCGAGGGCTCGCCTGGATGGGCTTGCCCAGGGTAATTTTCGGGGCTCGCCTGGATGGGCTTGCTCAGGGTTTAGGGGGCTCGCTTCTTTGTACACACACACAGAGAGTATAGCATAGTGCCCCAAACCCCGAGTCTAAGTATGAAGGCCCTGACAGTGAGGAGTCTTTTTCGGGATGGCCCCACCTACCTTCATCCATGTACGAATCCTAAAATGATGGTACTACTAGCCAACTAACTATTCACGGAACCTTCTATATATCTATTATATATATGCATATGTATGTCTGTGAATATAGAAGGGAGTAAGGAGGGACTTTCTAGTTTTGGCTCCGGGGCGGGCCTCCTGCCGGATGAGTTCATCGGCTGGAGGATCTTAGGGAAAGGGGGGGTTGGGCGGGTTGGGAAAATTTAAGTTTCAGGTTTGTTTGGGCCTGCAATGATTTGAAAGGTTTAAATTTCAAAGATAAAATCGGGTGAAAATGCTAGATCGTGAATTCAGAAAGGATTGTGGGGTCCTCTAATAAATGGAAGCTCTTAAACTGCATAGCCTAATCTTAAGCGCTAAACCCAAATCCTTGTAAACCCTAATATTGCAGATCTGGCCAGGCTTGCCCGAGTGTAATTAAAACTAGAAATCTTGATCTCCAAACTCTATTATCTAAACCCTAGACCCGAGACCTTGGAGCCCGTAAACCTCAAGCCCCAAACCCTGACCCCTAGACTCAGACCTCCACCCGAAACCCTAGACCCTAGACCCCTAAACCCTAAACCCCGGCAAACCCCCTGTGCTGGCGGCGTTGAGACGAGGCGCGGGTTTAGGCGTACAGGGATACAGGGTGGTATGTGATGCTGGTTGCCCACAAGCTCGTCCGGGACTTCGGTCCTGGATGTCTGTGGGGGACCGGGTCACCGGGTTACGAGGTCCGAGCTTGCCCGGAGTTTCGGCTCTGGGCATCCGGACCTCAAGGGGAAGATCCGAGCTTGCCCGGAGTTTCGGCTCTGGGCATCCGGACTTCAAGGGCCGGGGAAGATCCGAGCTTGCCCGGAGTTTCGGCTCTGGGCATCCGGACTTCCAAGGGTCCAGAGTGCCGGAGAGTGAGCGCCCGAACCCGAAAGCTTAAACCCGCAAGCAAAACACCCGCCCCAAAGGAGACGAGTCGTGCCACTCCGGTGCTCGCGGCTCCTTGCCCCCAGTATTCCTTACACTTGCAGTTCTTCTTCGTAATTAATTGTTGTGTATGCTAGTTCTTGACGCCGTTACTGAAACACTGTATGACAGTCCGAGTCTAGTTCTAGTTTGGTCAATAGCCGCCTCTGCACTACATTATGGGTAAACTATTTCGAAATAACGCACTCTTTAGCAGAAGATGATTAACTGTTCATCACTGCGACAAGCCTTGCGAACAAATGATTCTTTACGTGCTGGGCCTGAGCTTCTGGAATATATTTTGTAATACTGCCAAAAGAAGACCATGGAATCAAGATGTCTCAAATACTACTAAGACTAAATAAGACCTTGAAGATTTCGAGGTGCAGCATACAAAACATCACTGAGGCAACAAATAATCGAAACAAGCCACAAACTCGAAGCGTATACTTCCAGCATCAGCAACGGCTGCAACAGTAACCCCTTGCGAGTGATCAGATCACCTTAAATTTTGAATTTGTTGAACGGTAAATTTGCCTCTAATTTGCTACCAGCCGCCTCAAAATTTATTACCTATGCTGGTTTGCCGTCTGTGAGTTCAAGTCAATTACCACTCAGCAACTATTCTTCATTTCTGGATTCAATAGGCAGCGGCAATCAAGGGAAGCATCCACTATCTGTCAGTGGTATTCAATCAGCGAAAGAATTGCTTTGCAAATCGTACAAATTATGAGTCGTTGAAGTAGTGCTAGTAATATTAATTACCAAAACCAACTATACAAATTTTGACGCGGCTGCTGCTGGTAAATAAAGAAGGCGCTTCGAGCTTGTAATGGTTAGCTTCGTTTGTTCAATCAATTCTGTATGCTGTGTCGGAAAGTTCTCGTGGATGTACGGAAATCCACACATTGTTGCTGTATTCTTGCTATTAATTCTGAATAAAAATATATTAACTATTACTATTCTAATCACATGAAGCAGCAACGGTTGGGCGGTTGCCAACAATAAACCTTCTCCAGGCGATTAAATTGCCTCAAATTTGAGGCTCACTCTCAAGTTTGAATCAAAATTGGCATCAGCCGCTTCAAAATTTATGTATTTGTTTTTCGGTAAGATCTTAGGCTCTTGCTTAAAATCAACTCCTTGTGGCATATCACATGCAAAAGCGATTTGTTTCGTTGGCATTGAATGCTCCCCTTGCCTTTACCTATGAATCTAGAAATGAAGAATAGTTGCTAAGTGGCAAATAATTAATTGAATTGAACTCACAGAAGGCAAACAAGCATAGGTAATCAATTTTGAGGCGGCTGATAGCAAATTAGAGGCAAACTTGAATGGCAACAGATTCAAAATTTGAGGTGATCTGATCACTCGCAGCGGGTCTATTGTTGCGGCTGTTGCTGGTGTTTGAAGACCTAAGAATATGGTTCAAATGCCTCGGCTGGTTAGCCACAATTTGTGAGTCAGTTTTATCCGCGGCGCCTGAAAGCTGTTAAACCCTTATTGACATACGAAAGGTTGAACAATGGCGCCATTTACTTGTTATTGTGATCGTTACCTTAACGGCCGTCTTATCCGAGGCTGCCTGCCCGTTGGCTGCTTGCTGCCTTGGCGGCGCTTCGCAGTCCTCGAGGCAAGAGCAATATTGTTCGGGATCATGAATTCCAGTGGGTTTTCCGTGCCCCTGTAAATAAGTCAAGACTCTTCAAACTGTAACAGTAGTCTTCACTGTTCTAGGGTTTCTGGCTAAGAGAGAGAACGAGAGCCCTCATGCTCCACGACCTCGCTTAACGTCTCAGCTAACTGACCCGTACCCATTGTCGGCCAAACCCTTTGGCATTGTCTCCAGGGTGTACAGGGCATTGGCACGTACGATTTTATTGTTGCTTGCGGGGCCATGACAATACGACTAATTTTGAATAGGGTTCGGAAACTGTCAATGTTGGACTGTGTGGTGCTTCCTTCGGGTTCTACGATGGTGTCAAGGAGCCTTTGACATGGTTAAGAACCCGACCCAGTGCCTGTCCCACCGCTCGTGCTTTCTGCTGCAATTTGGGCTTCCGACCATGGTTGGAGTGCAAGGCGTAGGCACGATAGTTAGGCTAACTAAGCCTTTGGAATAATATGAGCATATGCCCTTACAAGGAACCTAGGACTACAAGATTGGAATAATTTAAGGGTACTATTGGGCATCCTAGTTGCTTAGATATGAATCTTACAAATGGCTGAATGCCTTAGCCTTGGACTGTC